ATATATCTGCGATAGCTGTTGGTTTGTTCCTTCCTAGGTGTTCCCACCCATGTCTGGATGTTACTTTTTAAGATGATTCCTTGATCATAAAATAATAAAAATAAAACGTCAGTAGGAAATTATTATAGGAAATTCAGTAGCTCTTCATACATTAGCAGATGTTCACACCTCAAATAATAGTTTTTGGTGAATTGATCTTTTATCTATAAAAAGCCTACAGGGTCTACTTTGCAAACTATGGCACTTAGTATATTAAATGCTTTTCTAATTTACTTTTAACTATCATTTGAAGTGGTGGGAAATGTGGATGTGTGTTATGAAAGATAAGAACACTCACTTAAACTGGCCATGGTGAGCTTTTTTGATCAGCAAGCGGGTGGATGGAGGAATCTCCCCACAGCGTAATTGTTCTCTCAGGACCTTCCACGAGACCAACCCATTGGCTGCAACCACTGATTGACTTAAGTTTTTCAGCATGTCCCTTTGACAGAAGTTGATCGCACAATTGACTTCTGTCGAGCAGGAAGGGCCATTTACTGATCAAAATCTGGCTAGTTCAGCAGAAAACATGGATCAGTTTCAATCAGTGTATGGCCAGCTTTACTGTTACTTTTAAAGGTGCATTTTTTAGTTACACTTCTGCGTAGCTGAATATCAGTCATACTCATTCACTCTTCCTTTAATGTTCATCACCTGCTCTTGATGGTTTTAGCTATATCAGGTATTAACCAGTTGCCTACCCTTGGCATGTTACACACAGCCATAAAATCTTCTCTGTACACAAGGCATCTCCTGTATGTCCAGGAGACTGCCTGCAGTTTCCTCTCTCCCTTACACAGCCCCATGAGTCCTGGTGTCTGTAGATATATAAGCTTCCAATCCCATGATCGGGAGCCAGTCAGAAGCTTTCCTCATTAAATGATCACTATGACAGCCAATCACAGTAATCATTCAGTGTAACATTTGTAAACAATAACAAAAAAGTAATGGTAGCTCACGTCCCTCAATTCTCTGACAAACAGCAATCTGTGAGTGAGAGAGCTGCAGTTATCACAGAAGAATGCGTATAGCATGAACAGAGAATTAGTTAACCCTTATTTAATCTTTTTATGTCTACGTAGGAATCAGAGGTCATTTATGATAAAAGTTGGAATAATTTACTTTTCTATAGGCGTTTTATAGATGAAATCCTACTCTTATGGAAAGGAGATGAATTGACTTCATGACTTATTTGAACATTAATAATTATAATATCAGTTTGTCCTATACATATAGTAAAGAGGAAGTTAACTTTTTAGACCTTAATCTAAAAGTAATTGATGGAGAAATTTCACCAAATCTTTTTTAAAAGATCGGATATAAATAGCTATATCCCCTTGGACAGTTGCCACCACCCTCAGTGGTTGAAAAATGTCCCTAAGGGACAATTCCTGAGGATGAGGCACAACTGTAAATATATCAATGATTATTTCGAACAAGTGAGGATATTAAAAGGCAGTTTTCTGGAGAAGGGATATGATCAATCTTCTTTAGACTCTACCATACAGAAGGTAGCAAAAATGGATAAGGAATCATTGTTGAGTCCTGCTAAGAATAAAGTTAATAAAATATTCTGTCCTTTCATGACTAATTTTTCAGTTCAACACAATCAGATTAGACACATTTTCAAAAAAGGTGGTGCATACTCAAAACAAACCCCATACTTAGAGAAATTTTACCAGATAAACCTGAAATTGTTTTTAGAAGAGCTCCCAATTTGAGGGATTGTTTGGTCCCCAATATATTAAACCCCCATAAAGCTAATCCTTCTTTTTTAAACATTTGAAAGGCTTTTATCCATGTAATAGGTGCATGACATGCACGGTGAACAATAAAAAAAAAAGAAAATTATCAACTTTTCCTCTACGGTTTCCTCTATGGAGTACAAACAGTACTCCATGAATAAATGTATTACTTGCAATTTCAAATATATAGTTTATTTATTGGAATACCCATGACATAAACAATATGTGGGGAGGACTACACGTAAGTTGAGGGATCGACTAAGAGAACACGTGTACAATATCAAAAAAGTTTTTAAAAAAACATAGTTTATCTGCCCACTATCATCAGTGTCACAATAGGGCCCATACTTGTCTTAAATTCACAGCTATAGATAAATTACAACCTCATTGAAGGGTATGCCATTGTACACGTGAGGTATTTAAACTGGTAATTTAATGACTATATGAACTTAAGTCTTATGCCCCTTTTGGACTGAATATAGATTGGGATATAAATTGTTTTATAGATACTAGTTAGAGTTTTTATTGATTGTTGATATCCCACCTATACTTTTTTTTATAGTAAAACATCTTTTAAGGAAAAAAATGTATTCTTTCTCTTTCTTTTTTATACAGGTTTTTATGTTAATCATTTTTTGACTTGTCATTTTATATTGCATGAATGTATCTTATTTTATATTGTAAATGTGACCCATCAGGATAATTGAAAATATTATTTAGTCCTTATCCTATTTGGTATTGAATACATAAACCCTTTGTGATTGTAATTAACCACTTCCCGCCCGCAATGTACTGAGGCAGGGAGGCAGCTACAGGCAAAGCAACGTACCCGTACGTCTCTCTGGCTGTACTAACACAGGGGGGTGACTGCTGTGTCCAGCGGACACAGCGGAATGAAGATCCAGGGGAAAGGGACCCGGTGATCGTGTGATCGCTAGGCAATCACATGATCACAATGTAAGCAAAGCTGTTATGCATCAATCTCATTCATAACAGCTCTGCTCCTCTTCCTAGGGAGCTGCGATTGGCGCACAGTTGTCACATGATGCATGGGGCCAATCACAGCACTCTGTACCATGTGACCAGCTCCATCCAATCACAGATCACTATCCTGAGCTGTCAAAACTTGAATCATTCATGACAGTTCATGGATGAGTTAGCTTCATTAGAGCAAGCGTTGTATTGCAGGAGAAATTATCTTTATTTCTCCTGCAAAGAAAAGTGTGAAAAAAAAAATTACCTGATCAAACCCCCCTATACTATTCTGATATATATATATATTTAAAAACATATTGAGAATTTAAAAAAAAAAGTAAGATTTTTTTTTTCACTACTGGCCAACCGCTTACCCGCATTTTGCAGGCAAGCAGCAGCTCTTGGAAAAGTGATGTAATCTTGTGTCACTTCCTATTTTGGGGTGTGAACGCACCTGCACCCCCCCCCCCCCCCCCCCCCCCCCCGCTGCCCCTCCCCACCTGTCAGTCCAGGGAGAGAAGAGAGAACACGGAACTGAGCAAAAGCACTATATTTTACACACACACGTTAGATTAGCACATTTAACCCTTTGATCGCCCCTATTAACCTTTGATCGCCCCATCACCCAGCCAGTGCCATTAGTACAGTGTCAGTACATAGAATTTTTCACTGATTGATATATTACTGCCACTAGAGACATCAGATAGCATCAGGGTCAGTAAGCGCCCCTCCCAGCCAGCCAGGGTCAGCTAACGTTAGATTGCCCACACACTATCGCACTCACGGTATAGGCCGCTGATCACCACCTTTACTAGTATAGTGTTCGTATGGATCAAGATATTGATCACGTACAGAACTAAACTAGTGCCCCCTTAGTATAGTGTCCCCCAAAAAGGCAGTGTTAGCAGGATCAGCCCCATTCGCTGCTAGCACTAGAAGTTTAGCCCTTCCTCTGTTTTTCATGGAAGATTAGTATCAACTTATGTGGGCCAAGGCAATTTATATGCATAACAATACATCACCTCCCACCCAAATTCAGCACTTGCCTGACAATTCGCTTGGAAACCTACACGGTTTCTGAATTTAAAACTTTTTTGGGCCTAACCCTCAACATGGGCTTTACAAAAAGGAATGAATTGTGGTCATACTGGTTCACAGAGCCAATCCATCATATGCCTGTGTTCTCTGCTGTTACATATATGTCCAACATGGGCCAGCAATAGTTACATAGTTAGTCTGGCTGAAAAAAGACAAAAGTCCATCCAGTTCAACCATAGAAAAAAAAAAGGTTTTAATCCTATATCCACAGTTGATCAAGAGGAAGTAAAAAAAACCCAGCAAAGCACGATCCAATTTGCTCCTGCTGGGAAAAAAATTCCTTCCTGATCCCCCGAGAGGCAATTGGATATTCCCTGGATCAACTTTACCTATAAATATTAGTATCCAGTTATATTCTTTGTATCTAAGAAACAATCCAGGCCTTTTTTGAAGCAATCCACTGAGCTGGCCAGAACCAACTCTTGAGGGAGTCTATTCCACATTTTCACAGCTCACACTGTGAAGAAACCTTTCCGTGTTTGGAGATTAAATTTGTTTTCCTCCAGATGTAAAGAGTGTCCCCTTGTCCTCTGTGATGACCTCAGGATGAATAGCTCTACACCGAGTTCATTATATGAACCACTGATGTATTTATACATGTTGATCATATCCCCCCTTAACTTGTTGCCGACCGCAGATAGCCGAATGACGGCTGCACTGCGGCCGGCCAGTTCTGAGTGGACGTCATATGACGTCCTCCCAGAATGCGCTCTCCTGCGCGCCTCAGGGGGCGCGCACCCGGCGATCTCCGTGATCGCTGTGTCCTACGGACACAGCTGATCACGTGATGTGGTAAAAGGCCAATCACAGCGGCCTTTTACCACCTGATCAGCGGTGTCCAATGACACGCTGATCAGAGGGAAATGCAAGTGCCGGTTCTCGGCTGCACTTTCCTCACGCTGTCAGATCGTGAGGAAAGTACTGCCGGGAACCGGCAGTTGTCACAGCGGGGATCGGCACCGATCATCAGGGCACTGATGATCAGTGCCCTGATGATCGCGCCTCAGGGTGCGCGCACCCGGCGATCTCCGTGATCGCTGTGTCCTACGGACACAGCTGATCACGTGATGTGGTAAAAGGCCAATCACAGCGGCCTTTTACCACCTGATCAGCGGTGTCCAATGACACGCTGATCAGAGGGAAATGCAAGTGCCGGTTCTCGGCTGCACTTTCCTCACGCTGTCAGATCGTGAGGAAAGTACTGCCGGGAACCGGCAGTTGTCACAGCGGGGATCGGCACCGATCATCAGGGCACTGATGATCAGTGCCCTGATGATCGGTGCCCAGCAGTGCCACCCGCAAGTTCCGCCCACCTGTGCCCAGCAGTTGCGTCCACTAGCTCCGCCCACCTGTGCCTAGCAGATCACCCACCTGTGCCCAGCAGTGCACCCACCTGTGCCCAGCAGTGCACCCACCTGTGCCACTCTGCAATGTCACACACCTGTGCCCAGAAGTGCCACCTACCTGTGCCCAGCAGTGCCACCCACCTGTGCCCATCCACCTGTGCCCACCAGTGCCACCCACCTGTGCCCACCAGTGCCACCCACCTGTGCCCACCCACCAGTGCCACCCACCAGTGCAGCCCAGCAGTGCTGCCAGTCAGTGCCGCCAGTCAGTGCCCAGCGGTTGTGCCAGTCAGTGCCGCCAGTCAGTGCCCAGCAGTGATGCCAGTCAGTGCCGTCTATCAGTACCCATCATCAGTGTCACCTATCAGTGGCGCCTATCAGTGCTGCATATTAGTGCCGCCTATCCGTGACACCTCATTAGTGCTGTCTATCAGTGCCGCCTATCCGTGCCACCTCATTAGTACTGCCTATCAGTGCCCTTTAGTGCTGCCTATCAGTGCCCATCAGTGCCGCCTATCAGTGCCCATCAGTGCTGCCTCATCAACGCACATTTTTTTTTTTTCAAATTTTTGGCAATTTTTTATTTATAGCGCAAAAAGTAAAGCGCCCAGTGGCGATTAAATACCACCAAAAGAAAGCTCTATTTTTGAGAAAAAAATGATCAAAATTTCATATGGGTACAATGTTGCATGACCGCGCAATTGTCAATCAATGTGCGGCAGCGCTGAAAGCTGAAAATTGGCCTGGTAAATAAGGGGGTATAAGTGCCTGGTAGGCAAGTGGTTAATCTCTTCTCAAGAAAGAATTAATTCAGTTCCTCTAATCTTTCCTCATAGCTGAGCTCCTCCATGCCTCTTATCAGTTTGGTTGCCCTTCTCTGTACTTTCTCAAGTTCCCCAATGTTCGTTTTGTGAATTGGTGCCCAAAACTGAACTGCATATTCCAGATGAGGTGTTACTAATTTTTTGTACAGGGGTAAAATTATATCTCTCTCTCTGGAGTCTATACCTCTTTTAATACAAGAGATGATTTTGCTCGCTTTAGAAACCACAGCTTGGCATTGCATTCCATTATTAAGCTTGTGATCTACCAGAACTCCCAGATCCTTCTCCACCAGTTGTACTCCCCCTAGTATGTATGATTCATGCATATTCTTAGCCCCCAAGTGCATAACCTTACATTTATCAACATTCAACCTCATTTGCAACATAGTTGCCCAATTAAACAGTGCATTGAGGTCGGCTTGCAAGTTGAAGACATCCTGTAAGGACGTTATTCCACTGCACAGCTTGGTGACATCTGCAAAGACTGAAATGGGATTTTAAATCTTAGGACCTATATTGATTATAAATATATTAAAAAAAGTAAGGGTCCCAACACTGAACCTTGGGGTACACCACTGATGACCCCACACCATTCAGAGTATGAATCATTAACCACTACTCTTTGAATACAATATTTTAGCCAGTTTTCTATCCATTTAGATACAGATTTTTCCAAGCTCGCAGACTTTACCTTACATATTAGCCGTGTGTGGGGAACTGTGTCAAACACTTTTGCAAAATCCAAGTATACCACGTCCACCGCCACCCCTCTGTTAAAGGTTTTGCTCACCCTTTCATAAAAAGAATGTACTGGTACCTCGCTGGAATTTTAGTGATTATATTGGGATGATGCCTGCTACAACTACAGGTATCATTCTGGTACTGTTTTGTTTTCAGCTGGCGGTTGGCTTTCATGTAAAAGCAATCCTAGTGGCCAATTAGCTGCTGAATTGTTTTTTTATGAGCAATGGGAAGGGACATCCCCCCTCCTGCTGCCTTCCACAGTTTTCTTGGGCTCTCCTGTCCCACAGGTGAATCCGAGAATGCAGCCGGCAGTTCTGTTTGCTGACCATAGAGCTGATCAGAGACCATAATGGCTCCAATCATCTCTATAGTCTAAGAAATCGGAAGCTACAAGCATTTCATAACTTCAGTTTCGAAGGATATAAACAGCACCATTCGTAAATTGGGAAAGCATCTGATCACACCGATCTTGGTGAGATTAGATAATGTAAGGGCAGAAGGGATATCTAGAGTCTGATAGACCCCAGATTTCTCAAAAAAGATTATATGACAATGCCCATTGAAGTTATAGGGGATATTTGCATTCCCTGTGACAGCATTAAAAGTGATCAGGAAAAAAAAATGAAAGGGACAGTGTAAAAATAATTAAAAATATCAAAATAACTAAAAGCGTTGACCCCATGCTGGTATGTAAACAGCAGTTGCACCACGCATGTGAGTTGTCGCCACAAACGTCAGATCGTGGGCAGTAGTTCTAGCACTATACCTCCTGTTTAAATATAAATTAGTGACCTGTAAAGGCTTTTAAAGCATCACCTATGGATAATAAAAATGTATGTACTTTGTTGCGATTGCACGGGCGTGCGCAATTTTAAAGCATGTCATATTTGGCAACTATTTACTCAGCGTAACATCATCTTTTATATTTTATCAAACAATTGGGAAATATACAGTTGCAATAAAAAGTATGTGAACCCCTTGGGATTATGTGGAGTTTTGCATGAATTGGGCATAAAATGTGCTCTGAACGTCATCTAAGTCACAACAATAGAAGAACACAGTCTGCCGAACATAATACTACACAAACATTAGATGTTGCCATGGTTTAATTGCACATAACATGTACACATTCACAGTGCAGGGAGGAAAAAGTATGTGAACCTTTGGACTTAATAACTGGTTGACCCTCCTTTGGCAGCAATAATCTCAACCAAACGTTTCCTGTAGTTGCAGATCAGACCTGCACAACGATCTGGAGTCATTTTGGACCACTCCTCTTCACAAAACTGTTTCAGTGTAGCAATATTCTTGGGATGTCTGGTGTGAATTGCTCTCTTAAGGTCATGCCACAGCATTTCAATCGGGTTGAGTTCAGGACTCTGACTGAGCCACTCCAGAAGGCGTATTCTGTGCTGTTGCAGCCATTGTTTTGTTGAATTACTTGTATGCTTTGGGTCATTGTCCTGTTGCATCACCCATCCTCTGCGGAGCTTCAGTTGGCGGACAGATGGTCGTACGTTTTCCTGCAAAATGTCTTGATAAACTCTGGAATTCATTTTCTCATCAATGACAACAATCCGTCCAGGCCCTGAGGCAGCAAAGCAGCCCCAAACCATGATGCTCCCTCCGCCATGTTTTACAGTGGGGATGAGGTTTTGATGTTGGTGTGCTGTGCCTTTTTTTCTCCACACATAGTGTTGTGTGTTCTTCCCCAAACAACTCAATCTTGGTTTCATCTGTCCACAGTATATTTTGCCAGTAGTGCTGTGGAACATCCAGGTGCTCTTTTGCAAACTTCAAACGTGCTGCAATCTTCTTTTTGGACAGCAATGGCTTCCTCCGTGGTGTCCTCCCATGTACTCCATTCTTGTTTAATGTTTTCCTTATTGTAGATGTGTCAACAAAAATGTTAGCATGTGCCAGAGATTTCTGTAGGTCTTTAGCTGACACTCTGGGATTCTTTGTAACAGTGATGGTGTGAACCTCCTGCGCTCCCAAGTGTTTTTTGAAACTAAAAAATATATTAAATAAAATAAATGTGTGTATAAATTCCAAATGTAGCTGCTAGCATTAAATCATATACCAGTGATTAAGTGAAATAAAAGTAATAAGGAATGCAGCGCTACATTCAAATTATAAAATTATGTGAATGTGGGATCCCAAAATATCAAATAAGTAAAAATAGATAATATGACGGTGTTAACAATACATATCAATAAGTGCTCATTAATAATATCATCAAACACAAATAAAGTGAATAGCTCAAAACATGTGAAAAAACATATGAAGAAACCATATCCTTATATATATGCATAAAACAAAATTACACATATATATGATGTAATCACACGTGCCTGTTGTGAAGTGAAATAACCATAATATTGATACAAACGAAAATATATCTCAAAGTCCAAAAAATATTATTGGTGACAAAACAGTAAACGGTGCTTCCAAATAATACTGTTAGTGACCATAAGTGAAACTCGTGCAGATTTCTGGGTGTGTACAAATCTGAGAATCCAACCACCCTCTGGATTAGCCTCTCACCTCATCCCTTCAACCCTTGTGGATCAAAGAGCAGTAGTGGATCCCTCTCACGGATGCTCCAAGCACAAAAAACACTCCAAAGGCAGTTTTCTCAGAATATAGTATTCACACTCAGGCTCTTCTCCAGGAAATGTTGTAGTATCAATCTCTCAAATGAGACAAAGGAATCCTCCCATAGTGTAGTATATTTAATTATACCATAGGAACAGATAACATTCTTGCATTAAAACTTACGTAGCAGCCAGTCCAAGAAAAACCTCATGCTTTCAGATGAGGATATATCTGTTTGGGTGTACAGCTGGATGCACAGGTGTGACAGCCCTGATGAAGTCACATGACACTGTGACGCAACGCGTCGGCTTGACATGGTGACGTATTTCCGGCGTGGCGGCCATCTTGGTACACCTGTGCATCCAGCTGTACACCCAAACAGATATATCCTCATCTGAAAGCATGAGGTTTTTCTTGGACTGGCTGCTACGTAAGTTTTAATGCAAGAATGTTATCTGTTCCTATGGTATAATTAAATATACTACACTATGGGAGGATTCCTTTGTCTCATTTGAGAGATTGATACTACAACATTTCCTGGAGAAGAGCCTGAGTGTGAATACTATATTCTGAGAAAACTGCCTTTGGTGTGTTTTTTGTGCTTGGAGGATCCGTGAGAGGGATCCACTACTGCTCTTTGATCCACAAGGGTCGAAGGGATGAGGTGAGAGGCTAATCCAGATGGTGGTTGGATTCTCAGATTTGTACACACCCAGAAATCTGCACGAGTTTCACTTATGGTCACTAACAGTATTATTTGGAAGCACCGTTTACTGTTTTGTCACCAATAATATTTTTTGGACTTTGAGATATATTTTCGTTTGTACCAATATTATGGTTATTTCACTTCACAACAGGCACGTGTGATTACATCATATATATGTGTAATTTTGTTTTATGCATATATATAAGGATATGGTTTCTTCATATGTTTTTTCACATGTTTTGAGCCATTCACTTTACTTGTGTTGATGATATTATTAATGAGCACTTATTGATATGTA